CGCCCCAAAACTAGGGCTTATTTTGGGGTAGGGCTTATAGGTCAAGCTAGGGCTTATTTTCAAGGTAGATCTTACTTTTGGGAAACACAATAGTAATACAGCCCTATTTGAAAGTGTTGTGGGAATTAGTTGTCTAACAGATTGATGGCATGGGGGGGGAGGGAACCTGACCTTGTTTCTAGTTGTTTCAGCGTGCAATGCCCTAATACAATCAAATCTGTTCCATGATACTCTCAAGAAAGATACTCAGCTAAAAATATCTTCAGAGTTTCAAAAAAGTTTCACCCTTTGTTGTATAAATAAATGTGGCAAATAAATTTGAAAATTCCCATCTAGTTCTTGTTATGTAGCTAGTCACAAATCAGTAGGATGATTTGTTATTTCATTCTCACATCCCTAGATCTATTTTGATTACTTTGGTAGGTGATCATGTCTTATGGAGTCCATGGCTTAATTTCAAATAATCATGCAGAGAATCAGCATGTATACATAGTTACAGAGGAGCTAGTCAGAATGAATGAAATCAGCTTTTCAAGCAAGGCTTTTTAGCATGATTCAGAAGGACAGAAAAAAGAAATAAGGGAAATAGACATGGCTAGTTTTAAAAAGCAGAGATACAGAAGAATGCTTATTTAAGTTTTCTTTTTAGCACCCAAGAAAACATTTTGACAGGAATCATAGAAAGCTATTATGTACTTCCATGTATGTCTATTCAGAACTAAACTAAACCAGATTAGGGTTAGAATAAATTTATTCCCTAGGCAATATATACTGTTAGTGTGCTGCATATATCAAAGTTAGCAATTGAGCTAAGTGGATTTTGGAAGGGTGCCTTTACAGCAGGGCTGTCAAACTCACAACATCACGTGACATGTCGTGACATATCTGGGCTTCCAGGAGGTGATGGGCTTCACTGAGTAGTAACACCTCCAATAGTACATTCCTAATCTCTAACATTAATAGAGAACAATTTTAATTAGTCAACTGAGAAGTTATGGCACTGCTTTTATATGAATCTAGTCATTAGCTTATTGCTGTGATTGTCAATACATGTGGCTTATTGTATCTCGGAACATTTAAAAACAAGAACTGCTTTTTCTTTTCTGTAATAGTATCTTGATTTAACATTTTTAATACTACGGGTGGATACAATTTCAAAATCTTTTTTTTCTTACCGTAACTTGTTTTGATACCCACTAGATGGCAGTGGCTGATAATACCACAAAACTGGTCATGTAACAAATATAATTCATAGTCACTACTACTATTCAGAAGGGGGAAAAGTCTAACAATGCCTAACACTAAGGTTTATAAATGATCTACTGAAAGGCTGAGATACATCCATCTCAAAACCTCAACACTCAATTTTCAACTTAGCAGTTGGGATTGCAGGTGATTGGTAAAAAAAAAGTCAGGGCTTTAGAAGAACAGCTTAATCTTCACAAAATATTACTCACATTCTGTGTAGGTTTGTTTTTTAAAAGTCAATAGAAAGCTGTTCTTGAATCTAATTGTAATTTAGACTGTTTCATTGTAGCAGTTCTCCAAGCTTGGTTTTAGTGTTTAGTTTTTAATTCTATCAGATAATATTATTATTACAGGAGTTTGGAGAAGTGCAATTCATTGGCTGGCAAAAGTTATATAACATTCTCTATGGTCATCTTTTAATATTCTTGGATGCCATCGCAGATGTTGCTGATGTTGTTTTGCAAATAAGTTATGCCTTGTTGATAGATTATTTATTTGCCTGAGAAGGTGGTGATTTTGTATGATCTGGTGTTGTTTCCTCTGCCATCTGTGGTGTTGATATCAGTGTGATGGCATGGCTCATCATGAGGATGTTGTTTTTATGTAACTGTGAACTGCTTTTTTAAAAAAAAAATAGGTTGATTAATAATAATAATAATAATAATAATAATAATAATAATAATAAAAAAAAAAGTTGGAAGGGACCTTGGGACCTTGCTCAGGCAGGAAACCCTATACTATTTCAGACAAATGGCTGTCCAGTCTCTTCTTTAAAAACTTCCAGTGTTGGAGCATTCATCGCTTCTGGAGGCAGGTTGTTCCACTGGTTAATTGTTCTAACTGTCAGGAAGTTTCTCCTTAGTTCTAGTTTGCTTCTCTCCTTGATTAGTTTCCATCCATTGCTTCTTGTCCTGCCTTCAGCTGCCTTGGAAAATAGTTTGACTCTCTCTTCTTTGTGGCAGCCCCTGAGATATTGGAATACTGCTATCATGTCCCCCCTTGTCCTTCTCTTCGTTAAACTAGACATACCCAATTCCAGCAGCCTTTCCTTATATGCTTTGGCCTCCAGTCCCCTAATCATCTTTGTTGCTCTTCTCTGTACTCTTTCTAGAATCTCAGCATCTTTTTTACATCTTGGTGACCAAAACTGGATGCAGTATTCCAAGAGTGGCATTACCAAGGCATTGTAAAATGGCATTAATACTTCACGTGATCTTGATTCTATCCCTCTGTTAATGCAGCCCAGCACTGTGTTGGCCTTTTTGGCAGCTGCAGCATACTGCTGGCTCATATTTAAGTGATTGTCCACAAGGACTCTGAGATCCCTCTCACAGTTACTACTATTGGGCAAGATACCCCCATACTATACTTGTACATTTGGTTTTTCTTGTCTAAATGTAGAACCTTACTTTTTTCACTGAACCGATGGGTCTTTAGTTATATCTTTTGATAGGTCCATAGAGAGGGTTTGAATATGTCAGTGATATGTCTGATCAATACTTGATTACAGTACTTTGCCTCTAAGAATTCTCTTGCATTTCTCAATCTAGCTTCTTCTATTATTTCCAATTTCCCTGCTGAATATATGCTCAAAGTTTCCAGAGAAATTATACTATGTCTTTTGAGCATTATCTGATGCTTGTCAATACATTCAGCTAGGTTTTTTTTTAAAAAAAACCTATATTCTATGTAGTGGGTATTTGCATTTTATTTAATAGATGATTACTTTGGTACTGGATCTTTGAGTTCACTTAGAATTCTTTGTTTAGTTTCTGTGCCCTGGTTACTTCAAATTGGAGGACCTGCTAGTGGATTTGGAGATGCTCTTGATAGAGAGGAGGCTTATCCTTTTTGTAGGTTGAGATGTTTCTGTCTGTTATTTGGATTGACGTGCACTTGAAATGCACTTGAAATTACTTTCATTGGAATTGAAAGCCAACATTGTTGCTACTAAACAATAACCTGATCCCCAAATGTTAAAATATCTTTCTCTTCCTATAGTGTACTGTAAAAAGATAAATAGACTTCTTTCAGATGAAGACCTGTTAGTAAAAAATAATCGGTATGAAATGGTGATTATAATGCTGGTTTAAGATAAAGAAAGCCTAGGCTACCAGATCAAGGCTGAAAAAAATTAGATAGCCACTAGATGGCAGCCAAATCTTTTTATCATCTGCCAATACTGGCTTTTTCTTCAAATCTATTGTCAACTATACTGTAGAAGTTTACTGGAGGACTTCAAGCCAATCATTATTTGCCATTATGAATCTCAGTATTTGACAGGATTTTCTTGCATTGATAAAATGGGAAATGGGAGTGCTGCCAGATTAACCATGAGATTGAAAGATAGAGAAGAACCGGAATATTATCAAACTTGGGACTTATTTTATCGATGGCTAGAAGAAAGAATGAAGGATTAGGAACTGAATATGTATTAGTGTTTTTAAACCCAGACAGAAAGGGGTGTAAGAATATATCAGAAGCGTTCTAAGGGTACGGGTATAGAAAAGATTGGGAGCCGCTGAATAAGAGACTAATATAAGTTTCAAACACAATTTGCAGGATGACATGGTAACCATTTGGTAAGGCAAGTGTCCAATATAGACCAAGTAAAAAGCTTTTATTCTAGCTCTTATAGTATATTTTTCTTAAGAAATTCCAAAGGTGCTTTTTCATGAGGCAACTGGACTTTCTTGTATTTCTTTGAAGACATTTCACTTCTCATCCAAGAAGCTTCTTCAGCTCTGACTGGATGTGGAGAATAGAAGGATTTATACTCCATGCAGACAGCTGGTCATTTGCATTCTTTTAGAGAGTCATTGAGGCCACCTGGAGGTTTATCTGTGTCGTCAGGGTCACCTGAGTAGTGCAAATAGGTGTGGAGCCTTTTTAGACTACTTATGATTATGACTTATAATTTGAGCAACTATAGAAATTACTTCAGAAAATCAGACTGGCAAGTTTTGGGGCAAGTTTAATTCAATGCAGGGAAAAAAAATATGGAATATTCCATTTCCATACTAATCCTCAGATTACTGGTTGCCATACCAAAGTAATCATGTTAGCTAAGAATTCTGAATTATATTCTCAAAACATTTTGAGGGCATGAAGATAATATAAATTGATTTAGAAATACAGCACTCTGCTAAAATACTATTCTTCCTTTTTTGACAATTCTCATGATGGGATGCCAAAATCTTGAACTTATTCTAGTTGTGAGTTCATAAAAGTATTCATGAGATCTGTCTTTCATGTGCCATCATTCTCATAGTAAGTAGTCTGCTGTTCTTTTCCTTTCCACAGTTCAGTGAAACTCCAAAGAAAACATTTTGGACATTTTCGAGCCAGAAAGCACGCAATGCCAAAGGAGTTTTAGACTGATGGATAAAAATAAAAAAATAATAAAAATAGAAAACCACTTTGCCACTTTTAAACAAAAGAAGATCAGAAGTACTTTTTATTTACATTTCCAAATAATTTGGAGCATATAGATCAGTTTGATATTACTCTCTATGCCCAGTTCAGCAAAAGTAAAAGTTCTATGTTTTTCCGTGTACAGCGAAGGGTATTTATAAACACAACAGCACAAGTAGATTCCGGGAATACAGAGTTATGTGTCTATCATTTTGTGTGAAAGACTAACATTAATAGTACATGTAATCTTTGCACACCTTTTATTCTGCAGCTGTCAAGAGGTCAATGAGTATAAATCAAGTTCTTATTCAGCAAGAAGGTATGTAGTTGGCACACAAGCCTGTTACATGCCAGTTCCAAGTGCTCTAGCTGAGCGGGCAAGGCCAAAGCTTTTGAATCTGTCAGTCAGTGGGACCTGCTTCCGAAGGTCTCTTCTGAAATGTACATGGTTTTCTGCATATACTAAGGTAGGCTTTGGTAAGCTACAGATTATAGAATTTTCCTATATTGTTGTCTCTTTAAACTCCAGTAGAAGAGATCTTTATCTTACATTGGTTTCTGTTTTGTTGTAAAAATATAATAGCAGTTGGGAACTAAAGAAATCTGAGCTAGGGTTACTTAATAGTAGATATTTGATAGTATCGAATCTGACTTTTAGAATCGGAAGTAAATTATGATTCACCAAAATTTAAAGTATGGCTTATTTTGGTTAAAAATGCAGGCAAAGGTGTGCAGGATTATACCATAGGTCTTTTTAATCCAACATCTTGTTTTATAGAATAGTGTAGAAAATATCTCTAAATATTACTATGTCTTCTGCTGCTGCTGCTTATTTTCTTTGTCTTTCTTTTTAACCAGGCTAACTTTTCATCTCTCTTTCTAGAATTACTCTTGCACTAACTGTTATGATAAAGTTGCATTCAACAGCAAAGCCTCAACTTTAAGAAATACAGGACTTTCCTGTGACACTTAACTGGATCAATGAGGAAGCTATTGTGTTTTAGTATATCAAAAAGGAATCATATTAGTTAACGACCTCTCCTGCAAGATTAAACCAAAGAGTTTAAGCCTAAAGCACGAACAGATTAACTAACTCCATCCATGGGTCATGTCATCGTAACACATAATTCCAATCAATTTTCCATACTTATTCCAACATATAAAAGAGCAGTCAAAAAGTTTTACCACGATGCAAATCACTGCCAAAACCTGGCAGTACAGAACACATGTCTAAACACTGATTACCTGGGATGGCCAAATGCACTTTCTGCTACCTGCTTTTTTGTTCTGTAGAAAGACTGGTGACATCATGAAATTTGCCAGGCTTAAGGCTTAAGGGATACTAGGAACTCTCCGGGGGGGGGGGGCGGGGGGAAGATGATTGATTGCAAAATGAATATGAGTCAATAGTGTGACAGATGCACAAAAAACAGAAATTAATCAACAGACTTGATTTTTGCATCTTGATTTATTGTCAAGATTGAAAGTTATAAATGGTTGGAAGTCAAGGAAGTTCTGTTTATTTACATGCACCCTACCTATGCTTTCTAGATAATATCTAGAGCAGTGGTTCTCAACCTTTTTAATGCCGCGACCCCCCAACCAGTCGTAAGTCGAGGACTACTCAACTGGTGCAGCACCGTTTGCAGAATGGGACTTTTGGCAGGCTCAGCAAGAGAGTCTATTCTATTGGCTTTCAAAAGCCAATAGAATAAAAGGGAGTAGCACAGCTAAGGAAAAGGGGGAAAAAATGGTGGACTGCGTTGTTTGGCGACCCCCGTGAAATGGTCGTTTGACCCCAAATGGGGTCCCGACCCACAGGTTGAGAACCACTGATCTAGAGATTTTTCCAATATTACTATCTGAGCAGTCCCACTGAGTTTTAGTTTTACTGTGAGAAAATTCTTTAAGGTCAGGCTGAAAGGAGGACTTAAGGGTTAAAAAAACTTAACCCAGAGGAGAGCAAGTTTTTAAAATTTGAGAAATTGGAGAAAAAACATTATTTTCCTTTCCCTCTCTTTAGCTGCCTTCTCATTATTAAATCTCTCACCCACCAGGTATCAGCTCCCCAAGGCACCTATTTTCTTTAACTTATTAGACTGGTTGCAAGGACTGTAAACAGCAGGAGCCGATTGGGCACAATGCCTCTTCTCCATCATCCATTCGGTCTGGGCTGCCATTCCACAACATATCAGTGTAATGGAGGTGAGGACAAAGAAGCCGAGTTCTTCTTTTCCTTTCAGACAGACTGGGGCTATTCTTGGTAATTTCATTTTTTTTTTACCCAATTCCAAGTTAAAACTAAGATGAGCTAGAAAGAAGCATGCCTTTAAAGCAATAGCAACAACAATGCTACTATATGTATATGTTGTACTTTTGTAGATGAGGAGATGAATCTTAAGTCAGATTTATTTTTAGGTGTATAAATAGAATAATTTATTGTATACTCTACATTCAAAAAATTGTTGCAAAATATGTATTTGTGTTTCTGTGTGTGTGTGTGTGTGTATGCATTATGGTTTGTCACATAGTCAAGCCGATGTTTAGACTGGATTTGGCATTTTTATTTTTATCCACTTATCAAGCCTTTCCCAAGGACATTACTATATTACTTATTTAATTAAATTTATTGGCTATTCGACTTCAGCAGATTCTGAATGGCATGTATGTATTCCCACGGAACCCTAAAATGAGAACACCATGAAAGAATTCAAAGTCATTACAGTTTGGAACTCCACATCAAAGTTAATAAGAAAGTCTTTCTTCAGCTGAATAAACATTGGTGGGGGGAGTGGACAGAGATTATCCTCTATCCATGGTTTTTTTTATAGTTACTCTTCCTAATTATCCTGCTGCTACCTCATACACCAAATATTCAAGAAAGCTGACTTGGTAAAGTTATATACAGCATTGAAGTGACCTCTTTGCAATGAGGATGCTTATCTATCAAATAAAGCCCTAGACAAAATGACAGTGACAGCTGCCTGGCAGCATTCACTTTGAATGGAACAGGATTGTCAGTATCCAGCATGTCATGATAGCTTAGAGCACCAAGACAAACATCTCAAAGCCCATTTTGCAAAATGGAATATTCTTTTCTCGGTTGCAGAAGTAATTTAGGATGCAATGTTTTCTTCTTCTGGGATGCATACTTTTTTGGCTTTCTCTTGCTGTAGGAGTCTTCTGAAAGCTCAGCTGTTTAACCTGTTGGCAGCTACAAAACAAAATTTGGGTCAGCAGAAGCAGCAAAAGAGAAAGAATTATGGGGGGAAAGAACTCCAAGGACCAAAGAGAGGAAAGCACAAGGTCATCAAAGAGAAGCCAGAAGCTACCTCTTTGGGAAGAAACTCTACTTTCTGGAAAAGATCCCAGAACACTGTTAAAGCGTGGGCTCCACTATGTCAACCTGAACCTCGTCATGAAGGGGATGATAAAGACACCTAACTTTTTATGGGGACTACCACAAGTCCAGAAATTGAATCTTTCACACAACCAGCTGGTGGCCCTTCCTCCCGCTTTGGGGAAACTTGAGCAGCTGGTGGTACTGAACTTGTGTGGGAACCGCATAAAGTCCCTACCTAAAGAGATTGGACTGCTTAGGAATCTGAAGGTTTTATTTGTCAATATGAATTGCTTGACTGAAGTCCCGTTGGAGCTTGGACACTGTAAGAAGTTGGAAATTTTGAGCCTCTCACATAATTATATCTCTTGGCTCCCTTCTAGCATTGCAGAACTGGTCAACTTAAGGAAGCTGAACCTGAGCAACAATTGGTTTGTTTATCTTCCCATGAGTGTGTTTGCTTTGATAAATTTGGATTTTTTACATGTAGGCTGCAACAAACTTGAAAATATTGGAGACAGCGTCCAGTTTCTAAGCAAATTGCAGATCCTGATTGCTGACTATAACAACATTCATGCATTGCCAAGGTCTATCTGCTCAATCACTTCTCTCAAATTGCTAAATGTTGATTACAATGCTATACAAGTACTTCCCTATGAACTTTATTTGCTGCATCGATTGCCCAAAATTGCTTGGAATCCTCTGGATAAGGGACTCCATATTTTGCACAATCCTTTATCAAAACCATTGCCACAGGTTATAGATGGAGGAATAAATGCACTCTACAAATATCTTAAAGACAAAAATCAGCTTGCATAAATTTATACCTTGGTTTGGAATAGATCTGGTAGTAAAGCCTCAACTTCTGCCACATGTTTTTTCTAGTCAATGTACAAAATGGATACTGGAATAAAATTATAGTTGTTTTTTTTCTGGAAGCAGGTACATTGATTGTGGAATAATATTTTTTTCCCAAATAAATGTATCCTTTGAATACTGAAATAGGAGTCAGAATAACTCTCTCCAATAATTTAAATTTTTATCTGTTTTAATGATCAATGAAGATAATAGCAATAGCATTTTAAATGTTTTTTCTTCTTCTGTGAGACTTCACTAGTGTTATTTTAAAGGGCATGACATGGGTTGTTATGCAGTTGTGACAATAACTTATTCAAAATGTTATACATATAGTTCACACATATATGCTTTTGTTACTGAAACACCAAAAACTAGAAGATGAATTGGTATTTATATTCTCTGAGTAATAGTTATTGTTTTATACCACCTGTCATGGTTTGTGCTTATTCCATTATTCTTCTAGTTTATTCTTCTAGTTCATACAACCAGCTTTCAAAAATCATGATAGAAAGAATTAAGTTTGCTACTAATGAAAGAAATGTCTACATTCAAAACTACTAAGCATTGCAAAAAATAATTTTAGAACTCAGTACAGCAAAAATTTGTCAGCATGAGAGAAACAGTAAGAGACCACAGTAATTTGTTCTGTTGCAAATACTAGGTGGAATCCACCTAGTTGCACAAGATTTGGGAAGTAGGGTCATTCTTCTAAATAATGATTCCATGATTATGATGCAGCTTATAGTACTGAAAGCCAACTGCATTTGTTTCCACATAGCCCAGGATTGTCAAATTGCCGGGCCATGGGCCGGTTGCATTATACGGAGGCTATGCCCACCCCAGCTGCAGCAATGCAAAAAAAGTCGCACTACGTCTTGACACGTTACGTGATGTGGCAAGTTTGACACCTGTGACATAGCCCTTCCAAGATTTTTCATTAATATGAGCTGCAAATTATTTTTCCTAGTATAAAGCCTATCATTGTTCTTTGCCTTCATGGTGCATATGCCCCAGGATGAGTCAGATGTCAATGTACCACAGAGTTCTTTTTGTGCTTTAGGCATGGACACCTATAATACTATAATAATATTATACAATATTATTATACAATCTGTTTCATGGAAGTATTTTGTGGCAGCATAAAGAAGACTGTAAAAAATTATCCACCCTGATTCTTTAATCCATTAACTTTCTTAAAACTCAAAATTAGGACCATTTCCATATTCAAAAGTCTAAATAAGTATGGAAGATTAGGGGGGGAATAATTTAGTTGTGAATCTATTTCTGTTAATAATAAAATCAATCTACCTGGGAAAGTTGTGAATATGAATAAAGTAAAAGGGTTGGTAATCAGGCGATGTATCTGTTCATAGAAACACCACTCTAGGAAAGAATGCAATGCACTCTTCAAAGATTTCCATTTTTATTCCAATTTACAGAGCAGTAGTTTTTCTCACTGTTGTGCTTTTCTCACCTGTTACCATTACAGAATAACCTCCCAAGGGCTGACATTAAAGTTGAAATCCTAACAGCTTTTTAAAATAAAACTTTACTTCAGAAACAAAACTCTGTGAAATACACTTTCGAAAAACTATAGTTAGTAATTTTAGCAATTTCCCTGCATAAGATGTATCAATGCAAAGCAAAGGAGGCTGACAGATAATTTGGGACTAACAGCCTATTTCAAAAGTAAGCAGCTGCCCAGTTTATAGAGGGTATAAACTCGATTTGTATCTTAATTGGAATTATTTGTGTAAGAAAATTAATTCTAAATATGCATGTATCAGTTTGAATTCTGTGGATGCTATTAGTAAAAAGAGAAGGCATACAACTGGTATGATATTCATATTTGACAAATAAGTCACCTAGCTAATCAACAGATGAGACATCAAAGCACATTCATTCCTGAATAAGTTATATTGTTATTAAAGTGATTATTTGTTTAAAGAAACAAAATAAGCTGGGTATTTTGTGATCCACTTAAGAATCAACATGATAAAATTAAGACATTTCAGTTCTATTTGTTGCAGAGTAAACAAAGACTATCTCACTGTTCCTTTGTACATCCCCTTACAAAGTAGTACATTTAATATTGGGGTGGAAAATCTGAATATCCACATGAATACAAACTTGGATATCCATTTGTGGCGGCTAATGGGAAAAGATTAATTCTTGAAAGTTTGGGGCATATTTTCCTAAGACTAGGAAGACCCAGGTTCATGAAGCTCATGCTCAGTCAGACTAACTGAACTCATAAGCTTCTGGTGGAAGAAAACTGGAGAATGGAATGCTATGTCTATCAACCTATGCTCTGGAAAAAAATATACCTCTTTTAAATTATTTATTCAGGGGGACTCCAAAGCTAATCCTATGAGGAGGGAGCATCCTTAGAAGTATGAGTATTGAAAAAAATAAAAATGATGGCAAGAGTATATTCAATATTGTATTGTATGTCAGAATCACAACTAATTTCAAGAGTAATGATTAAGTGGTTTTACTGAAACATCTTAAATACTGAGATGTTGAGTCTTGTAATCAGCTGTGAATTGTTGTGTGTATGAGTCAGCATTTAGTACTTTAAATTCTTGTGATATATACTACTTCTGTGGGAGGAAATATCCATGCATCAATAAATAAGAATTAGATCATTACAATTAATTCTGTGGTTAGTTGCATTTCAGTTTGTATACCTGTTTAAGGGGAAAAAATGGCACTCTGAGAATGTTTAGGTTCTGTTTTACAAGATTAAAAACCAGCAGATGGTGTAAGGGAAATATATCCAGATGGAAAATGAAAATTAATAAAAATCAAGACATGTTGGGGATCCAGGGAAAAAAGAGAATATAAAATAGAACAATTGAAAGCAGTGAGGATACTGAAAAATGGTGGCACTTCTCTGGTCCTAATAAAATTATTAGGTCTGGATGAGCCAATTGATTTACCCCAATAAGATACGTTGATTTACCCCAACATGATAGTATTTCCCAGGAAGGGGGTAGAATTAATTTCCTTCAGGGAAAAAAGTAAGGTGACCAACTTTTTTACAACAAAAAGGAGGACACGAATAAATTGAAGAAAAAAATATCGTAAATAAAAGAAACATTGTATTTATTGCAACAATAATACAGAATACACTATAATATGATCAATGCATAATAAAAAACATTTGTAAATAACATTTTATATTGTAATTATGCTTACATGCCTATTAATTATTTAAATGAGTACTTTTCCATTGAATGAATATTTTTTGTCAATGTATCATCTTCTAACAATATATTGGAAATATCTGAATAAGAAATATCCTTCATATTGAATTTTACGGCAAGTGCTGCAGCTAGAGTATCAACATTCAATCTCAATTTCTCACTTGTCCAAAAATCTACACGGCTGGACTGCGCGGGGGTGGGCAGCAGAGGCAGGTGTTGTGAGCCAGGCGCTCCAGGATGGCCACGTAGATGCGCAGGGTGAGGTGGTGGCAGCGCAGGTCAGCACTGCGTAGAACACCAGCTGGCGCGGCCCATGGAAGGTCAACTGCCCGCCACGCACCCGCCCACAGCCGCCTCTCCAGCACCGCTGCCCTGCCGTGGAGAGCCGGTCCCGCAGCTCGCAAAGCATCAGCCGAGCCAGCTCCGGCCCTGAGCCGCCCCCCAGCACCACCGCCCACCCCGCGCATCCCTGTAGAGCCGGCCACACGGCTCACAAAGGCAAAGCAGCAGCTGCTCCAGCTCCGGCCCTGCAGCTGTCCCCCCAACCGCCCCCCAGCACCACTGCCCACCTGCGCATCCCCGTAGAGCCAGCCCCACGGCTCACAAAGCACCAGCCGCGCTGGGTCTGGCCCTGCAGCCACCCCCCAGCACCACCGCCTACCCAGTGCATCCCCGTGTAGAACCGAACAGGGAAGATCAAGAGAAACTTACCGCTCCAGTCTCCTCCAGCTATCTGCGGAACTAAGTAAGAGATGGTGTAGTTGGGTAGCAGTGAGAGGTGCAAAGTTCCTGCAACTTGCACGTGCAAAGTTTGCCGCCTGGGTGTTTTGGTGTGCTCAGCAGCAATTCCTATTGGCTTTCGAAAGCCAATAGGGGGAGTAGCACAGCTTAGGCAAAAGTTGAAAAAAACCATCAAAAAAAGGTCCTGGAACACCTTCTGGGCGTTCTATGAGGGGAAAAAAGCCCTGCACATAAGTCTTCAAATATAGAAAAAGAGGACATTTAGGAGGACATTTTTGAGGGAGGACAGAACTCACAAAAGGAGGACTGTCCTCACAAAAGGAGGACGGTATATGGAAAAGGAGGACATTTAGGAGGACACTTTTTGAGGGAGGACAGAACTCAAAAAAGGAGGACGGTTGGTCACCTTAAAAAAAGGGGCATATTTTGTGTCTGTGAGGTACCTGCTTCATCTCATCCTTGTTTTTTAGTACTTTTTTAGTACTTTCAAAAAAGTTTAAGAGATTTTTGCAAACACTAAGGAAAGAGGAGAAACACAACAAAGCAACATGGAAACGTTATTTGCTTTTGGAAGAGAAGTGGTTACCTTGATTCATAAAACAGATTTGAGGGGGGTGATTTGTTTGAATGGTTAGCTGAAGCAAAACAAGCCTAAAAAGTTTAAAATCCATTTAACTAGAATAAACATTACATCATTTTCTGGCTAATTTCTACTGGAAATACAAATCCTCGAACACCAAACATGGCCTTAATCAAACCTCCTTCCATAAATTCAATAGAACTTACTTCCAGATACACATACATAATTACAAAATCTGATTGGATCTGCAAATAGGCAAGTAATTCTTTTGCAACATATTTTTAAATACCACCCAATCTTTACCTATAGGGTTGATTTGTATTTTATGATGGTTCTGTCCAGAAGGAAATGCTCTCTAGGAGGCATCTTATACAGGGCAGCAGGTTGTAGATTTGGTTGTAGCAATAACTATGGTCAACATTACAACATATGCAAATATTTGAATGGCATCATCAGCAGAAAGACATTATTTAGAGTCAATTACTTGACAGCATTCTTAGGAAGTACCACTAAACTAGATAGATATCATTTGTATTTTCAT